GAATTTAAAATAACCAAATAAGTCACAGAGGGAAAAAAAATGCATTGTTATTACAATACAAAACACAACACAACAAAACAAAAACAAACAGAAAATTATAAACCAGAGAGATCCTACAGGGGAGAGGGACAGAGAGGGGTTGGAAGGAGAGAGGAGTGTGGGGCGTTATGGTGATGATGGGTGGCGAGAGGGAAGCAAACACTTGTAAAGTGAACAATAATGTAAATAGATATATAAGTACATTTTAAAAGTTTCACATCCTATGTTTATGGAAAATATTAAATTTTTCATGACATTAACCAAGATACCAAATGAGAGCCTTACAACAATGGTAGATTACTTGTTGAGCTGCTTCTAGTTGCTAAGCAACGCGCTGAGCGCTTTATCAGTGTTGATGCATGGGCACCTCATCCAGACCGCTGCCATCCCCCTTGAACAGCGGGGAAACAGAGGCACTGCCCAAGTTCACTGGAGCCACACACACGAGGTGCTGCTAGACTTTTCCCAGCCAATGTCATCACTGTCTGGAGATGCACACTCAGTGGTGTGACTGTGTCGCTTCAGAGACAGGCAAGGCTGGAGCTAACGGTGCAGAAATGTGAGGGTAAATAGGGCTCTCACAGGGTGGTGAATGCAAGGTAAAATCAAGAGATGAGTCTATAGGTGTTAGTTGTAACACTTTTGTATTTTCCTATAGGTTAAATACATTTCAGAATGAAATGTGGGTTAACAATATTATGGATGTGTTGCTATGTCACAGCCACAGCCCAGACAGGGCTGGAGATCAAATGCTTTTTCCAATGTATTATAGACTACCTAAAATAATAATAATAATAAGTAAATAGGGCCTCCCTGGTGGCTCAGAGGTTAAAGTTTCAGCACTATCGAGCTATCAGCAGCCACTGCAGCACAAATTAGATCCCTGGCCAGGGAGCTGAGCTGACCCACATGGTGCAGCAGACCTCTCCTGTCTCGCCAGCTGCTCCCCTCAGCAGTATATTTCAGTAGATCTGCCTGTTCTGCTCCCCACTCTGCCTCTGAGGAATCCTTTCCCCTTCCCCCCACACCTCTGGTCTGCACCCCAGTTATTGTATGCATAAATAAAAATCTTTTTTAAAAAGTAAATAAAAATTATTTGTTTTTTCTTTTAAAGATTTATTTATGTATGCATACAGAACTGGGGTACAGGCCAGAGGCGCAGGGGCAGTGAGAGGATTCACCAGAAACAGTGGGGAGCAGAACAGGCAGATAGTCGAAGTACACTGCTGAAGGGAGCAGTGGGCGAGCCAGGAGAGGTCTGCCACGTGGATCACCTCCAGGGCTGGCAGGGATCGAACTCATGAGGAGGTGGCAGCTTCTCAGTGCTGTTCTTTAACCCGCTGCACCACCAGGGAGGGCCCCAAATTATTTGTTTTAATGTCACTTGATCATTTTGCTTTCTCCATCAGTAACCTAACATCACAGTAACAAGTATTTTGGAATTAGAAAGACTTGATTTCAAACCCTGGCCCTGCATAGCTTGAAATAGACACTGTACCAGGCCTGCTAAGTATTGGTTGTTTCGTCTTTGAAAGGTTACTACTTCCTTCCTGGAAAGGATGTGTCATATGAACCAATATGTTCCTTAATGGTCCCTCCCAAGGCCAGGCAGCTGTGAGCACTGGGGCAAGAGACAGGCAGTACTTACTTGAAGGCTGTCTGCCCTGATGGATTATTCCATAATATTATGGAGTATTATGAAGTCATGTTACTCCTCCCCACTTCAGAGATGAAGATACTGAGGCATGCGAGGGAGTTCAGCTCTTGTCCTCAAAGCCAGTTATGTCAGCCTATTTCCAAAGTGAATAAGTTACATCATTCGCAGGGAGAAAGCCAGTTCATGCTGTTACCACTTTCATTCTAGAGCAATGAGGAGGCCGGAAAACCACCACACAGATTGCCATAGCAAATATTCATTTCTTTCCTTCCCCCAATTCCAGGGCTAAAAGGGAGAATCATGAAAAGTGAAGGAAAGTGAACTCTCTTCTTTTCAACTCCATCCCTCCCTTCCCCCAAATAAAGGGGGAAACAAAGTTCTCTCAGCAGGGAATCCTGGTTGGGGGACAAAGGCACACACATGCATTTTAATCCAGACTGGTGATCCGCAAACTTTCGCAGAAGACCTGAAAAAGGCATGTGGGGCCCCTCCCGGAGTTTTTGATGCCTTAGGCGTGGCTGAGGCCTGTGAAGTTGCCTTTGTAGTAATTCCCAGTGAGGCTGAGGCTGCAACTCCATGCTGGAACCGGGGTCACAGAACCACCTGCAAAGATGGGCTTGCTGTTTCCACCCCAAACACAGCGGAACAGCTTCACAACCCGAGTCTGATCCGGGCTGACCGATGGCCAGGCTGGTGCTGTCTGCACTACACCTGAGTGAAGGGTGACATTCTAGGATCTCCCATTGCTGTACCTGATCACCCCAGGTCTGTTCAAGAACTTCTGTTCTTGAAAGGTCAAATTGTGTGAATGTATGATATATTTCAGCTGCCAATGAGAACAGAAGATAGTCTGGAAAAGCAGCTTCAAATGTTCCTGTCTGGCCTCCCTGTAATTCCTCTTCTGGAAATCTAGCCTCAGAGAATGATTCAAAATATAGCCCAAGATGCCTCCTTGGTGGTGCAAGGGGTTAAGCACAACACAATGAAGCTATCCCCAGCAACACCACAGCACAAGTTACCCCTGGCCAGGGAGCTGACCCACACAGCAGCAGACCTCTCCTGTCTTGCCCGATGTTCCCCAAGCAGTGTATTTCAGTAGATCTGCCTGCCTGTTTCACTCCACTGTTTCTGGTGAATCCTCTCACCCCACCCTCCATGCCTGTACCTCAGTTCTATATGCATAAGTAAACAAATCTTCAAAAATAGATATAGCCCAAAATACAAGGATGTTAAGTACTTTGGGGGGAAAAAGACAAAAACCAAGAATCTAAATATCTCACATTTATAAGAGACCAATTAAATAAATTATGGAAGATCCAAGAGATGGAATATTATGAAGTTGTTAAAATTATTTATTTAGAATTTTTATAACATGTCATGGCATTTATGATGTAATATTAAATAAAACAATACAGAATTAAATTGACAAGCTCTTACTATTTTAAAATATTGAAGAAACTGAAAAGAAATAAACTAGAACAGGAAAAACAATTATCTCTACTTCTTAAAATTTTCTATACTTTCCACACTGCTACAATAAGCTCTTTTATCAGAAAAACCATGATCTATTTGCTGGTAAACCACCATAGATATTTTAACACCCTCCAACAGTGATTGCCTGAACGGCCAGAAAAAGCAAAATTATCCATTTTAAAGCTGATTTTTAACTCCAGATTCCATTTCCCTGGGCTGTGGAATGTACATTTTTTTTTTAAATGGCAAGCCCCAAGTGAACCATCAACAGTATACATACAAAGGAAAAAAGTTTAGAAGGCTTTCTTTAAAAATTATAATGGGAGGCCCTCCTTGGTGGCACAGCGGGTTAAAGCACAGCACTAAGAAGCTAAAGCCACTTCAGCATAAGTTTGATCCCCGCCTGCCCCAGAGGAAACCCACATGGCGAGGTAGACCTCTCCTGACCCACCCGCTGCTCCCCTCAGCAGTATACTTCGTCAGTCGGCCTGTTC